CTACATCTCACTTGAATTTTTTTGTTCCGCCACTAAATTTGTTCCTCAAATTTGTTAGATTACATTTTGTTTTGACAATCTCAAAAATATGTTGTTGTGGTCAGAAACGGTTTTCTAAAAAAGCATACCATTGATTAAGGCGTAACAAAACTTACCATTATTCTAGACTGGGTCCACATAATCAAGGGTTTTTTTTTTTTGGTTTTGAGAATGCATCATGATGTTGTGTATAACCTTTTTACATGATGAGAAGAGTGGAAGAACTAGAAGAAGTTTTGTTGCACCCGTGAAATATTGTTATGATGGTAGCCATGTGGTTGTTGCATGTGGACATAGTAGGGCACCCCAAAAGGAGGTAAATATTTAGTGTAATGATTATATCATGTCATCATCGTTCAATAATAAAATGACATATAGGATAGCTAAACCTCACTATTCTAATATAAAAATTATTTGATGTAGTGGTTATCGATAGTTATTAAAATAATAAGATCCACTCAGTACATATGATATATCATTTCAATAAAACAAAGCAAGAAACAGGGACGACATACATTGATTGCATGTCAGATCGACTTGCTAGGCCTACTTCTCTGCCTAGATTCTTCTCTAAAGTCTAAGTCATGTAACCATTTTACACTGACTCAACAAATTGAGAGAAATATACATTTATTGTCTAACTTTTATTTGATAGGGTTCGTTTATCCGGATCAATAACCCAACTACATAGCCTATCACAACCCGAAAGATAGAAGTAGGACATTTCACGAACCTTAATGAGAAGAGACAGACAATAATGTCAAAAGGGAAAAGGGAAGAAGAAGGAAAAGAGAGTAATTAGCAAAGTATGCATTGTTACATGTGATGAAATGGTAGATTCTCATAGTTGAAGGGGGTGTTTTCGATAATTTGTCCAAGTATTTATGTTGGGCTTCCTGCCACCACACTCCAACACAAGATCTAAGACCCTAAAGTGCTTTTATCCACCCAAATCCAGTCCGGACCCAATTCCGCCGTGACTTCCGGACTGAAGGGGAATTATTTTCCACCAAACACTGGTAATTCAATTCCCTTTTAATAATTTTCAGTTCAAAAAAATTTTTTAACAAAAAAAAGTCCCTAATAATTTTGTTAAACAGCAAAATCAGCTGGAAACGTGACTTCAAATTCCTTAGCAGTGTTCGTCCGGACAACCCAACGGTACGGCCACCTACCCTTTAACGGATATTGCTGACGTGGCACATGGTGAATGGACCACTATAAACTATTTCCGCCTTTAAAAAAAAAAAGAAAAATACTAAATAAACGTATTTCCATTAAAGCACTTGATTTTACTTTATCCTTCTTAGATGTATTTGTGGGTTTTAATAATCTCTAAGGCAAGGTTATATTTGACCCATTTTTACAAAATTATTAATCGATACCTGTAATCACATGTCAATTACAAGTATCGATAAAACTTGAGATTCATTAACGTGAGTCAAATTCAACATGCTCAAATTTACAATTCAACCCAAACTAAATCCCACACCACTAATCTATTCATGTGAATTGTAGTTGAATTTAAGAAAAATAAAAATATATGCGTGTAGTCGAATTGTGTTAGATTTAAATTTAAGAAAGCAATGATACTTGTACCTAATTTGTTAGTTTAATTTGCTCATCTAATCAATCTTGACTATTATATTGATTGTTAATTTCAATATTTTTGAGATTTGCTATCAATTCAATGACAGTGATTATTAATTCAACAAATTAAATCAATAGATTAAGTTAAAATAATATTTTTTTTATAGATTTGGCGAATTTTCCTTTATTATTTAGTGTCCATTCATAAGCTATATTGTTCTTTGTGTGAGTTTAAGTTACTATGTCGTTTTATACACTAACTCATTTGGTTGCAGCATTAAGAGTTAGTTTACAAAATTATAACAGATTAAAACTCTTTAATTTAACCTTATACTAGTTGGTGTACGCGTGTGTGATACATAGATCATTTTACGTATTGAATATTGTAAATAAAAGCCCTGCACCATTTTCTCCAAAATGCATGTCTTTAGTAAAAGATTGACAACTAATCACTTAACAATCAAGTTTTATGAGAAAATCACAAAAATTATTGGCTAAAATAAAGTTATTTGGGCGTTGCTCATATACTCTAAGTTTGTCAGATGCTCAAGCGAGAGACTCTATAAACCCATAGGATATTTTGTCCTCATGATAAAAAAAAAAAATAACTAAGACAAAAGCTCTATATATGATCTATATACAAAGTTTTTGTAACATGCTCAAGAGGGAGACATTATAAACCCATGGCATATCTAGTCAGAGAAAGAGAGTCATCTCTAATTCAATATATACTCATGCTGTTCAATCTAAAAATCTCTAACACCACCACATAAATTGCCAGAATTATCAAATTGTATAACTTGCAACACCAAAGTAATTAATTTCTCTCTGAATCAAACTTATCCTTTTTAACATTTTTTTTGGGTTGTGAAAAGAGAATAAGGATTTAACTTACCAAAAGAAGCGGGTGAATGAATATCATGCCATTAATGCCTCCTCCAAGATATATAGTTTGTTTGATTGACACACTAAATTTACAATTGGTATAACACATAGATAGATTGTAGAATTGAACTTCTTACTTTTGAAGATAAATAGTAGAGGAAGAAGAGCCACAAGTGGAATGACGCATGATATTTTGAGTCCTAAAAATCATGAGAATGAATCTAAAAGAGCCAAAATGAAAAACTAAAAAAAAACAAGAGGACAAAAGAAGATATTATTATGAATTGTGAGCTGCTATTACCTTAAAAAGTACAGACAACTTTGTATTCACAACTCTCAAACTAGAAAGATCTTTGCTAGAAAATTTGCCCAAGCCAATGTGAGTCCATTGTCAATTCTTGTCAAAATGAAAAGAGTACAACTTGGAGCTTCCTATCTCAAAAGCAGCATTGTCAAGTCACAAGAAACATTTTATTATTAGAACTTGAGACCACCCAAAAGGCAAAGACCAATTAGATGATTTTAATGACTTTTGAAGTATATGAAAATTTATGGTATAATGAATAGAATAAGTTTATAGAACCATTTAGGGGTAACCAATACATTCGATGTAAGTTCAATTCCTAAAATTTAATACGTCTTACAATTGCTAACTTAAGCAATCAATGGTGGGGGCACATGTAGCGACATATGAAAACGAAAATTTGGTTGGTTAGATACGTAATCATCCCCTCTATATCGTTAAAAGGTTTCAGAAACTTAATCATGTAATCCTTCTAAATAATCAACACTTTGAGCACGAATTTGCATTTTGAGATCAAATTTTTCGTAAATTCACGAATTCCCACTCTTACAACTATTTATTATTAATTAAATTTTTATTTAAAAAATATTAACTGATACATAAAAATACAAATCAAACTAGAATGATATTTGTAATTTATTATAACTATTTGAGAACCTTATAATCAATATATATTTAAAAGTTAAATAATTTTTCACATAGTTGTGCATGAATTTATTTTTGTATTTTTATTAACTTTTATGGGTGAATATTTGTTTTGATGCATATAATATAACGCTCTCAAGACACTCTCGTTTTCAATTATTTTTTAATTTTGTCATTTTTGCAGTTCCGTTCTCTCTCCCGTTCTATGTGATTTAGATTTTAGATACATGGGAATGATTACGTTCAAGTAATTTGAAGAGACTTTACTGTATTAACGAACAATCAGTTTAATGTCATTTAAATGTTTAATAAGAACCGGGTTGAAATGAGTCTCAATTTGAAGGATTAAAGGTTATTAATTTCATTTGGATATTTAGTGAGGATATTTTATGTAATCAAACGTTTTTCTAACATGTGAATATTTTATAATAGTATAAATATATAAATTTATTTTACGCGTACGAATAGTACGCTTTATCCATACTATTGAACTAATTTTAATACCACTTAAAGATGTAGTATTATAATTCATTTCAACTGTATTAAATTATAAATTTCCTATTTTTTCAATCAAATATATTAAAAATGGATAACTTCGCTAGATTGATAATTTTATGGTCAATATGTAATTAATATTGTTTTTTTATACTAAAAATGAATGGGGGGGGTAAATGAGAGAGTTCAGAAACCACCCCAATATACCCTTACTAATTGGATCATGAGGCCTCTGACCGTGTCCGTTACTCTTTTCGAGAACGAACCTAGTTAGGCTAATATATCAATTAGTCATCAAGCCCCAAAATAGACTCCAAAACTCGAACCTCCAATTTTAAGATAAAAAATTAAATCGACATCTCACCCTTAATTTAATGTGGTACAAAAAAACTGAATTATGATAGATAATATTTTTGTTTCATATTTAATCTAGTGTTTTATTCGCTCATGCAAAATTAATCTATATTATCTAATACAATCCCTTCTTTTACGGTACATTACAAATCGAGCCATAATCTTTTAGAATGTGAGAGGAATGCGTTTTGGTGTGCTCCTTGGATCATGCTTGTGTTGCTTATACTTTGGATTATATTGTAATACTCCTAGATAATATATATTCAATTATTAAAATAATATAAAATAAAATAAGGGATAGGGACAGACATGTCACGTGAGTGGCCCATGACAAAGCCTGCTGAGTGAGCCGTTAGTGGCAGTTAGTGTGGTTGTTAAGATGTTGAAGTAGAGTAGTTAAAAAAACACACGAACTTAACCTAACCACGGTCAAATGTTCTCATCATTTTCGTTATGTGTTTATTAGCAATTAATTAACGGCCGTTAAGTCGACGTTATCTCGTTGGCTTCGTCTATAAAAAGAGGCCGTTACGCCGGGGTATCGCAGCGTCTCTGACTCCCGCTTCCCCCATCTTCTCTGCTCAGCTTTATTCTTATTCTATTCTCTCTCCTCTCCTTCTTCATTCCTACCTTAGAGAGAGAGAGAGAAATATTTTTGGAGAGAGAAAGGGAGAGAGAGAATTGTGAAATGGCAATGGTGGCTCCTAAGCAGTTGGTTTCTCTGTGTTCTTTGCTTCTTCTGTTTCTCTTCCTTGTCGGTGCCATGGCAAGGGTGGTACAGAAAAACGACGTCGCAGAATCAAGGTTCTCTCTCTCTCTCTCTCTCTCTCTCTATATATATATATATATATATATATAAGCTCTGTATTGTTTTTGAACTCAATTTGTTTGAATTGGAGATGTTCGTACCATTAAATTGTGTTTATTAGCGCCTAAGGAGCCCTACATTTTGTTGTTTCGTTAACAGGACTGTCGAAAAAGTGCAGTTGCAGAGCTCCACCGACTCAACAATGGCGGAGAGGTCAGTGACTCGTTCACTTTGTTAGTACTTCTACTGAGTCGACTCAGTGCCTAAAAATTTAGTGTTAACGGAATCAAAACCGTCGTTTCCAAAATCTTAATTGGACAATCCGAGCCATTGAGATCCCAAATTCCTTCAGATCTTAACCGTTTATTCCTTATGGTTATTTGATTCCTCTACTTGCATAAAGATCCTCATTCGTTATTCGTCCCCAATTAAAAAAGAAAATATTCCGTCCAATGGTGATATCATGTCATTAACGTCCTTGAAAGATCATCTTAATTCCCAATTATATTATCTGCTCCAAACAATCTCATAAGTCAATTTAGTAAATTCGAACTTCCACGATAGATTCGCCCCTTTGAAAGCATTTTTGTGTGCGTAAACACGAGTAATATTATTAAAATTTAATTTATTGAGTTAATTTGTTGACTTAACTCACAACAAACATTAGAGTAACTGAGAGTCATATCAAACATTGAAACTTTATAATAATCTAATGTTTGCAATGAAACCATTTTATTAGATAGTTAATTAGATCAAATTTTTAAATTTAAATTATATTGAGTATGAAATGTGCGATTTGCTAAAAAATGTCGGTTGCTATTCTCCAAATTACGTAAGTGTCCCTGTGCCTTCGTTCCAACTTTTATTTACCATCGGCAACTTCGTCTTGGTATGGGGTGTCTTTGGTTTTTTAACTCCAAATGGGTTGGTTCCAGAACGAGTTAAAAGTGGTTGTGATTGGGCCAACTTGTGTTTGAGAAAAGTTTACTGTTGAAACTGTCTGTTGATTCATATTTGTGGGTTTTTTTTAGTAATATAGAGCTTATTTAGTAACATTAGTTGATGTTATGGTTATTTGTCATTAGATTGACAATAGACCCCACTATTAATTAGGATTTATTATTAATTTAATGACTATGATTCATCATGTTATTAAATAAGATCACTAAATTAGGTTATACAAAATATTACACTTTTTTCTTTCCCATCACTTTTGAGTTGATTTTGTACCTTGTTTCGGTGTTGGGGTGTGGTGAATTTATGCGGTTTTGTTGTGTGCAGGTTGGAAGAGGTTGAACCAGCTTTAAATGAACATGCAGTGGATGACCCAGAAGAAGTTGCCGCCATGGTTAATATGTAGGGACCTCTCTCTCTCTCACACACACACATATTCATTTTGTTCATCCTGTGAACGTTGAGCCTATTATTACAAGCCTCATACGATGCACTGGTGGGTAGAGTAGTTTTTGGTGTAATCTTGATAACTCACACTTGATAGCAGACCTACTGACCCAACCCTGGACTTCAAGTGTACGTGGGTTTTTGAGGACCTTTCCTCTGTACTTTATATAAAGTATACATATTTTGGTGTTCAATACTGTTTTCCACCTAACCTATATTTATCATTCGCACTATGGAATTGGCAATCTGTGGAATTAATGGCCATGTTCCTCATCTGACGTCTTTCAACCTCTTGTTCAGTACCACCCACATGGGATTGTGGTGAGATCTATCCGTGCCTTGCTCAATTTAATACCTTAACTTGTCCCTATCCGTATTATAGAGATGTGTCTATATAGAATTATTATCTGAATGTTTAAATGTGACTGGTTCTAAATTTGAATTTGGATCCTTCCTTTACTTTTCTTCATTTTCCCCGATAATGATCCGTGGGTACCTCACTAATTTAGAGCAAGTGATCTTCGTATTGAGAAAGTATATTAGAAGGGAACAACATTCATACATTTCTATACTAGTTTTCGATTTGGCATTCCACAAATTGCATGGTTTGGACAAATCCCCGAACCCCTTAAAGGGCAAGTTTCGAGAGTCATTAAAAGGTCAAATATGCCTTTCTTTGGTTCCTTTTATGGAGCACCATATTTGAAGGGCAATTCATTAGAATTTTGCTTTATAAGGGGTGCCTAAATTGACCTCTTTTCTCTGAATTGTACTTTGTAAAGTTGTCATTTAATTGTACTTTGTACGTGCAAGTTAAAAAGTAGCAACAAAGAACTATTCCTTTTCCGATTTTGATCTTCTCAAATTTGATTGAATTTTGTCAAAAAAAATACTATAAAACTCAAATAAAATCCGGGTTATATAGCATTCTCCTTAAGATGAAGTAAAATTATTCAGCATTATTCGTAAAATAATAATATCTCTAAGAACCCTATGAAATAGGCTTGTGTGGGTGGTCTAATGTATTTTGAGTGCTATCTTTTTCACGTGGCAGCATCACCCATGTGTGACCAAAGAAAGACAAAAGTATTGCTGCCACCCAATACCAATATTAAGCTAACAAAATTTGATCCGTTGTGTGAAAAGACCAAAATTGCCCTTGTAAACTGACAAAAATACATAATGCTCTGTTGCGCATCCCCACCCGGATTAGGTTTTGGCTTTTTACAACTGAAAGTGATGAATAGGCTTGCGGGGATAAAGACAGGGAGCTATTTTATTTAGCTCCACCGACACAACACCCAGTAATTATTACCTTATACGTATATGTGTGCGTATGTCTATACATATAATGCAAGATAAACTTTGCAAGATAAACTTTGAGTTGGAATCTTGGTAATTTCTTGAAATTAATTATGAGGAATTTATTTTTAATGAATTCTCTAATTTCAACATAAATGATTTATTTTTGATTAAATTAAAGAGAGAATAAGTCGAAGTGCACGTAAGTTGACCCAGACTCTCTTGACTATTGAAAAAAAAAGGTATGGTAATTATCTTGAAACCGCGTCAATGGTTAAACTAGAATTTTATGCGAATAATGGGACTTAGAATATAAAATGTGTTGATTTTCGTTTCACTCCTACTTCGACCACTAAAAAATGTTATGCGGGTTTCTAGATCTTTGTTCATTATAAATCTGTACCTAAAGCTTGCTTTGTGATCAAATATCAAAGAAAATGTAACAATCAAGGCTTAATGACGCTGTTTTTTTTGACTGAACAGGAGCATCCGAAACAGCACTGAGAGAAGGAAATTGGGATTTTTCTCATGTGGAACAGGCAATCCGATTGATGACTGCTGGCGTTGTGACCCCAACTGGCATCAAAACCGCAAGCGACTTGCTGACTGCAGCATTGGTTTTGGGAGAAATGCTATCGGTGGCCGTGATGGTCGCTTCTATGTTGTCACCGACTCCGGTGATGATGATCCTGTTATTCCCCGGCCTGGTACTGTAAAACATTTATTCATCTAAAGTTTAAGTAACATAGACAGGCTAATCAACCCAATTTGTTGGTTAACCGTAATCAAATGTTTCAAATCTTCTTCTAAGAGACCATTCTGTCTGCCCATCAGTTTGGGGATGATTAGTCATAGTGAAGTTTGAGGATGATTAATCATAGAGAAGTTTAGTTTAATTCCTATTTAGTCAAATGAAAAAATCTTATGAAAAATTACTTCTTGATTTGATACTTAACCCATCAACTCATCTGCATGTTTAACTATTAGAGATGGTATAACATAAATATTATGTGATTCAACAGGTACTCTGCGCCACGCTGTTATCCAGGACACGCCACTCTGGATTGTGTTCCAACGCGACATGGTGATTACCTTGAAACAGGAGCTCATAATGAATAGTTTCAAGACCATTGATGCCCGGGGAACCAATGTTCACATTTCTAATGGAGCTTGCATCACTATTCAATTTGTCACCAATGTTATTATTCATGGTCTACATATCCATGACTGTAAACCCACCGGGAACGCCATGGTGAGGAGCTCACCTTCCCATTTTGGTTGGAGAACAATGGCTGATGGTGATGGTATATCCATCTTTGGTTCGAGCCATATTTGGGTTGATCACAATTCTCTCTCCAACTGTGCTGATGGCCTTATTGATGCTGTTATGGGTTCCACTGCTATTACCGTTTCCAACAATTACTTTACCCACCACAATGAGGTGTGTTTTAACTTTGAACCCCATTTCACTACATGTTTTGACTTGATCCTCTTTCACCTTGTGACCGACACTGTCATGTATAATGGGAGCAGGTTATGCTGTTGGGACATAGTGATTCTTATGTAAGAGACAAGCAAATGCAAGTCACCATCGCCTACAACCATTTCGGAGAGGGTCTCATCCAGAGAATGCCGAGGTAATATATCATTCAAGTTTGTATAGCCTTTGTGTTTTTTACAGAGTAAATAGTTTGCTAGGAGGACTTCAAAACATCTATAACCTGATTGAAGACACTTTCTCCACTAAATGCTTGAAAAATGACGCACTTTTCCACTGAAAATCGGCTTGTCCATTTAGGTTAATTGACCGGAATTTGATATTGCTATATGAAATAATGTTTCTAGGGAGTATATCCAATCCTGTGGTTTTTTCTCAATTTACATCTAAATGTGAAACCAATCTATGAAAAATTACAGGTGCAGACATGGGTATTTCCATGTGGTGAACAATGACTACACTCACTGGGAGATGTATGCCATTGGTGGGAGTGCAGAACCCACCATCAACAGTCAAGGCAACAGATACCTTGCCCCAGTAAATCCTTTTGCAAAGGAGGTACTATGCTTCTAATAACCTCTATTAACAAATAAGTGATCGCTTTACAATGATGTTAATGTGATCAAGATTCAAAGGTCTTCATTTCGTGTCAGTTGCATTGAAATGACGGAAACATTTCGCTTTTAGTGAAAACTGAAATGGATCAGTGATGAAAAATCCAAATTTTTAGGTTTGATTATTTTTCAAAATATAAGTTCCAAATTTTCTCAATATTCAAAACACATTTCCCAAACGTTTCCATTCTGACCAAACCGAAATGAAAATTTTATGACTGGGCATGATGAACTTGTCTGATGTTGGGGATTTGGTTTTGACAGGTGACAAAGAGGGTGGAAACAGCTGCAAGTAAGTGGAAGGGTTGGAATTGGAGGTCAGAGGGTGATCTGATGCTTAATGGGGCCTATTTCACTCCATCTGGAGCTGGAGCCACAGCCAGCTATGCTAGAGCTTCAAGTTTAGGTGCCAAGTCCTCTTCCATGGTTGGCTCCATTACTTCTGGGGCTGGTGCTCTTTCGTGCCGCAAGGGCCGCCAGTGCTAGCAACCTCAGTTAATTATTGGAAAAAGAAAATCTTTTTCCCCCTGTTCGGTTTCCATTTTTACTTCCATATTGCATTACAGGGTAAGGCTATGCACATTCGAACCTCCCATATCCCACAATGGTGGGAGTCTCGTGCACTTAGTCGCCCATATTCGATCCATTGTCTTTTCTTATTTTTTTTACTTCTCTTCCACAAGTGTACAATTGTTTTATGTATGCCAATCATTCATCCCTTCAATTCCACCGGTCTCCATCGTTGTGCAATCTCGGCCTGCTTCGATCATAAACCAATTCCAGGAACAGACGCGTAAGCATTGTTCATTCCTTTTACCTTCTTATTTTTTTTATTCTCAGCCTCAACAATCATCTTTCTCACCACCAGTTACCCTCTCTGCTCATATGCTGTCAATTTGGTCATACATATTGTGCTGGCCTTCGGGTTTATAGGAACTAAACATATTGTAATTTCTTTTTCTTTCCCTCTTTTTCTAGCTTTCTTAAAATCATACAACTAAAGTGTGAAATTTAAGTGTTGGGTTAAGTACAACTTTTGTAATTATTGATAGATAAAGTATATCAGCAAGGTTCTTTTACCTGTTTTTATTTTCTGGTTTGTCAGTTAGTTTCATTAAGTCGTGACTTCTCAACTTATCCTCATTAGTTTCTCAGTACTTGTCCTCATCAAAATGTGCAGCAATAACTACTTGATTAATTGAAATGATGGTTGTTTAGAGCATCTCTAACCCACCTCTCCAAAATGATTGGTTAAAATATTATTTAAATATTACATTCTCTACTTTAATTAATCATTTTTTTATCTTCACTACAACCACACTCTCTATTTTAGCTAACTATTCACCCAACTTTCACTAACTTCCAACAATTTTAAGGGAATACAACATATATATAGAGAGACATAAAGAGAGAAACAGATAGAAAAAGAATTTAGAGAGGTTAAATGATTCTCTATATTTGGAGAGCCATTTGGGTGAAAAAAGAAATAGATAGTGAGCTAGAGAGTGGATTGGAGAGTATATTTAGTGTTTGACTAGCTAAAATAGTTAAAATAGAAGAAATAGAGAATGAGTTAAAATGTTTTTACAGAAAAAACGCTTTACTTGCAAAAAATTACTTGACAATTTTTTGAGATGGACAAATTGTCTCAACTTTTACAAAAAAAGAGCGTATCCAGTAAACGAGACTTTCATCATTGTAAGGTCTACTGAGGGTTAGATATATACAACTTTATTTCATACAAACAGAAAGACTATCTGCGTTCTCTACCTTTATCAGAATCTACTTCCCAAAATGATGATTGTCTCAAAAGATGGCACAGGATGATGGTTCGTGCAGTTTATTACAATCATAATTCCATAAACAGTGCATAGGCAAATTACAAGTGCTAACGATGAGTTCGAAACCTGTGTCCCTACTCTTAGTTAAGAATGTCAATATAACACATCATTTAAGCTCGACAAAAGGGAAGAAACTTCAAAGTTT